CCTTTAAGGTAGACCATGCTTTTATGCAATGCAATTAACTAACTAATCAGCTATTATTGCAAATTTTCCGAACAAACAACATTTAACAGATGAAATCCTGGACATGTACCTGCAAAGGGGAACAATATCTTGTTCAATTTCACGAGTCCAAAGGGACCACTCCATTTGCACAGCAGTAACAGGATGAACAGCATGTGCCCTCCTAATCGTGTCAGGACTAGCTTCAGATAGTCCTATGTACCTTATCTTTCCCTCTTGAACCAGCTTCTTAAGCTCTTCCATCTATCATTCCAAGAAAACCCAATAGCAAATCAAAGACAAAGCTACCAAATTATCCCAAATCAAGAAAGAGAAGTATTAAAAAAAGAAGAAGAAGAAGGTTTCACTGACAGTGTCCTCAATGGGTACTGTGGTGTCAATACGGTGCTGATAATAGAGATCAATGTAGTTGACACCAAGGCGGTGGAGGCTGGCCTCACAACAGGATCGAACATATTCAGGGTTACCGTTAATTATGACATTATCAGATTCCATTCTAACAATCCCAAACTTTGTGGCAATCTGAACTTGATCTCGAGGTAAGTCCTTGAGCGCCTGAGAGAGAGTTAAAATGTTATGTTTCAATTAACATTGTTCCATTCTTTAAAAAAATTCAAATGAAAAGAAAGAAAGAAAAGAAATTGAAACATATCTGTTAAAGTGGGTAGTTATATAACTAACTAACCTTTCCGACCAAAACTTCATTGGCATGAGCTCCATAAACATCTGCAGTATCAAAGAAGGTGATCCCTTTGCTGAAAGCGTACTTGATCAGAGAAATGCCAAACTCTTCGGGAACAGGAGCGTTATAATATCCGGTGAGCCCCATACACCCAAACCCCAATTTGGAAACCTATAATGATTCAGACAAAGGAAGTAACTCAAAGTGATTATATGAATGAAGAATACGAGCGGAATCAAATAAATCGAACAACATAATAACTTACCTCGAGGCCTTGGTTTCCAAGCTTCACTCGAGGAATATCTGCCATTTTTATGTATCTCTCTTCCTCTTCAAATTTTCCACCCATGACTCTGTCTTGTGTATGCTATGTGTTAGCAATCAGGGATGTTTTCTGGGATGTATAAGGCGTTGACGGTATAAGTTTATATTATATCAGTTGTTTAGTGATAGTACACTAAAAGCTTATAGAGCACAATCCGTAGCGGCTCTGTGGGCCTCTTTAGAGCCTGTTTGGATCCTCTTATTTGTAAGCTTATAGAGGATCCAAACAGTCTAGAGTATAAGAGTCTCAAGTATAAGATACGAGATTATAAGTTTATATTATACTAGTTATTTGATATGACCATCGTTCATCGTATAGTATAAGCTTATACAGCACGATGTATAAACCTAAGGGCATATTTGGTGCATAGTATTGGATAAGGCCTGATAGTTTAAGACCTGATAGTATAAGACCTGATTGTATAAGATCTGATTAAATTTTAATGTTATCCAGCGTTTGGTATGGTATTGTATAAGATAATACCTTCCAATATATTAAAAAAAATATTTTAATACATTAATATTGAAATGATATATTAGTTCTTGAAAATTGTACTTATAAGCGATATTAATACATCAACCTCTTATCAGGCGTAATCCCTCACCCTTAGGTCGGATTAAGTTATACATCGTTTTGATGTATTAAGGGATCCTGCTATATAAACTTATACTATACGATGGTCACACTAAACAACTGAAAATCTCATAACGTACAGTATAAACTTATACTATCAGGTCTTATACGTTACACTAAACAGGCTCTAAATCTGAAGGTAGGGGTGTCAATATAAGTTTTGACACGCGGGTCAACCCGCGACACGACACGAAAATTCGTGTTCGGGTTGACTTGCAAAAAAATTCATGTCGTGTTCGTGTTGATGTATTCATGTTCGTGTCGACTCGTATTTTTTTAAATTATTTTATTTTTAATTTTTTATTATTATTTTTTTAATTTTTTTTAATTTCGATCCATTTTTTTTGTCAATTACCGTTTTGACCCCTATTTTGCGTGTTATTCGTGTCGTGTCGTGTCAACCCGCAAAAAATTCGTGTCGTGTCAGTGTTGAAGATTTTGACACGAATAAAAATTCGTGTCGTGTTAGTGTTGATGTATTCGTGTCGTGTCAAATTCGTGTCGTGTCGAATTCGTGTCGTGTCAACCCGTTTTGACACCCCTAGGTGAAGGAGTAGGCCTGATAAGAAATTAGTGTATTAACATCGTTGACCAGTGCAATTCTTAAAAATTAATATATTATTTTAATATTAATATATTAAAATAAAAAGTAATTTTTCAATATATTAAATTTTAAAATATTAATATTTTTATTTTTATAAAAATTTATTTTTTGGACACACTGATCAATAGATTTTTATAAAAGTTAATATCTTATGATATTTTTTGAAGATTTATATAAATTCTTTATTAAAAGATATTTTTATTAAAAATATTTATATTTATCCTATATAGTATTATACAGTGTAAATACTAGATGATATACCTTATACAATATATTATTTTATACAATATCATGTCAAATGCTGGATAGTATTAAAATTCAATCAGGCCTTATACTATCAGACTTTATCCTATACTATGCACCAAACATGCTGTTAATACATCAAAATGATATATAACTTAATTAGGCCTAAAAGGGTGAGATTAGGCCTAATAAGATGTTGATGTATTAATATTGTTTACAAGTACAATTCTCGAGAACTAATATCATTTCAACATTAATATATTAAAATAAATTTTTTTAATATATTAATTTTTAAATATTGGAGGATATTATCTTATACATTATCATACCAAACTATCAGGTCTTATACTATTAAACCTTATCATATACTATGTATCAAACATGTCCTAATTAGTGTTATTTTGAAGGTGAACCGAACTATTTGAGCATCACGGCTCATCTACTCAATTGCACAATGCTACTCGTTAATTGCACAATGCTGCTCATTTGACTTTTAGCTTGTCGTATGACTTCCCCTGATAAAACCAACATTCGGCAATACAACTATAATCACACACACAATTAAGAAAATAATTATAAATATACATAAAGGATTTAATGTGAATTAGTTCATTTCTCAAAATAATGTTGTTCTAGATTAAAAGATTAAAAAATTATAATGAGAAAGACTATTATAACCCTGAAATGAATTATAATTACAAAAATATCTTGATTTTTTTTTCACAAAACGACGTCGTTTTGGGTTCAATGTAGATAACTTATCTATATTGGTTGCAGAAAAAACTAACTCATACATGAAATATTCTCATGTCCAAACCCGTATTAAAAATTAGGAAAAAAGTATTTTTCCATTTACTAGAGATGAAGTTATTTTTAGTGAGCCCAAAATGATGTCATTTTGAGTTATAAGATTAAAAAATTGTAATGATAAAAATTAATATAATCCTACAATAAATTAAAATTACAAAAAAATTTTGGTTTCTTCCGTAAAATGACATCATTTTGTTCTCATCGAAAATAACTTATCTAAATGCTTTACCCTAAAAATTAATGCTAGTATTCAATCGGCTCGAAAAAGAAAATGATTAAGTTTGATTTGTGGTCAGATTTTATTTAATTTTTTAACACCCTAGGAGTGATTATAGTTCAATTTTAGCGGAAAAAATTTAGTGGTGCTGTCTCGTGTGCTTTTTCCGTCGAGAGATTAATATTGTATAAAAAAATGCTCTTTCCATTGAGAGATTAATATTTGTATAAAAAAAAAAAATTGTACTCTCTTCTCTCTCTTGATTAGTTGTCATATTTTTATTAGTTTGGATCACTTAAAATTTAATGCTCTCCGTGTACCAAAACTCTTCTCAACAATTCTGAACCGTTCATCTTCAGTTCGGTTTATTTAATTATTTTTTACATTCCCACGGAGCATGGTGAACCTTGCATAGCATGCAAGCTTATCCTAATTCCTAACTAACTAGCTAGAGGGGGCGTTAGCCTCTCAATTGAACCAAAAAAAATGAAATAAAACAAGCTATGTCATATGGACTCACATCACTTATCAGCTTCAGCAGCTCACCTCACAGTCACCGAATCCATCAATCTATACCACTATTCGCTACGCCACTACCTAGAAAAAAAAATTGGTCGTGGTCCTTTTATTCAGGAGATAATATTTAAACAAAAAATTATTTTTATTTCTCATCTCTTTTTATTATTCATGAAATTTTTATTGATTCGAATTACTGAGTTAATGATAATAGTATGAAATCACTAAAATTCTTAAACACTACCTATTACTCACTGCCACCTTCAACCATGCAAGGAAATCTTTGGGTTGAAAGACTAGGAAACTTGCGTCGTAGTCTTCATCAAGCCTAAATATGAGGCTGTTATTCTCCATTTTCCCACAAATAAAAAACTGTATATTCTTAGAAAAAAGTGTTTAACTTTTTAAATGACACAACTTATATCTTTTCACTCTAACAAAGAGATGAGACCCACACCTTTATTTTTTGTCAACCATCTCTCCTCCGTTATCTATCTCTTTTTCTCTCTTAAAATGACACAATTTTACATCATTTAAAATGACACACGTTTTTTTCCATATTCTTATAGATGAGAGATATTTTAACTACCAAAATTTTTCACTACCAATTTACTACCTATCTAATCACCATTAGATTAACATTTTCTCTATCTTCACCATTAAATTAACATTTTCTCTCTTTTTAAAAACTTTTTAATATTCTCTCTCTTTGATCCAACGGTGATGTGATGGATAATAAATTAGTAATAAAAGTTTTTGATAATTATAATATCCTCACTCATTTTTATGTCCCTTATTTTGTTATTATTTTGCCCAGTAGCAGCTTTTACTTTCATTCTTTTTTTTTTCTCCCTTTACCTATGCAGGCACGTATGCTCAATGTTTGCTAATTGTCAGCACAGATAAGAATGATTTGCCATCTAGTGATTCCTTTCAAAGTGCACATTTTTGTTCCCCAAAGCATGAGGAGCAAAATCCTCATCATATATTGTTATTCATAGTTTTTTGTTACATCACAAACTCGTAATGCAGTTCCAATCTAAAACTTTAACCAAACAAAATATCTAGCAAGCCAACCATCGAGACATGGATCATATTATTGATATTTTATTCATATTCAAGTTTTATTAATATTCGCATCTACATCTGCAGCACTCTAGCGACCTTGATGAGTGCATTCTCCAACCGGAAGGGATTTAGAGTGCTTCAGGTTGAGACCCTCGACTCTTTTGGAGGAGTGTTAGCAAACTTCCAGGAATTTTGATCATTTCCATTGAAGTATTGACTACCTGCTACATTATCAATGGGAACCGCCTCAGAAATTTCTCTCAGGTCCTTTTCTGATAGTTTCACTGCTAAGGCACCAAGGTTTTGCTCCAGGTTCTTAATCTTAGTTGTTCCTGTAAATGTCCAAAGAAATTGTGGGAAATAATTATACACTTTCACAATAAAACAGATAATATTGAACATATATGTGCTTCTTCGTTGAATAGGAGGGAAGTACTAACATTAAAAATAAAATCCCCAATACTTTAGCTATACTTAAAAAGTTAAAACTTCCATACAGTTAAAACTTCCCAAAATACTTTATATGTACACCGTAATATTTATCTACGACACGTGAATAGTTAAGGATAGTTTAGGAAAATCATTTTTGTTTTTATTTTTTATTTTCCATAATAAGTAAAAAAATTTAAAAAAAAATATTATCTTATTTTCAAAGGTTTGTATAAGAAATCATGAAACCGATAAAAAGAGAAATCATTTCCTTGAATAAAAGAGGCGTTAACATGTAGTCTTGACTTTAGAGACTCGAAGAAGATTGGACATAGAACAAAAGAAATCTCCAATATTTTTAACAAAACTTCCTATTGTGGAACTCTATGAAATAAACACTTGAGAAGGCAAGCAGAGAAGCATGTGGCGTGACTTACTGTTCATTCTCAATTTCTCAGCTCTAAGGACCGTTTGAATGGGCTTTTAAAAATGGACTTTTTATGCAACATTTATTTTAAAATGATTCTTTTCAGAACGTATGGATTAGTATTTTTATTTTTATTTTGAACAAACGGATTAGTATTTAAATAGCAGAATTTTGGCTTCCGGTTTCCAAAAAGCACCATTTTAGCTTCTGCTTTTTTTCAAAAGTTGCATCCAAACACAAGTCTACATGTGAAAAAAAAAAAAAAAAACTTTTATTTTGCAAAAAACAACTTCTCAGTGAAAAAAATCCATCCAAATAGGCCCTAATAATTGAGAAGAATCTACAGCCAGTAGCTTTAGATGACACTACCATATGAAATGCACAACTACACTGCCCATACACTACAGACGAAAGTGTATAGTTCTTCACTTATTTGATCAGTGCACAAGTACAATGACAGAATATAATGTGCATAATAATTTGTTTCGATTGACAAAAAAGAAGAAAAAAATACCATATTCCTGAGATACTAGCTCAGAGTAGATAGTATCAAAGATACTTTGCCGCATACTATTTACAACAAAATTAAAAAGATATTCTGTCACTCACCAGGGATAGGTACAACATCCTCGCCTTGTTGGAGTACCCATGCTAATGCCAACTGAGCAGGAGTGGCGTGATGCTTCTGAGCTAGGCTTTCAATCCGATCATATATACTCTTGTTCTTGTCCAAGTTCTCTGCTTGGAAGCGGGGATGTGCAGTCTGATATGTGAAATAACCATCAGAAAATAACATGTATTCTTTTCACCAAAGAAAAAGTTTAATTTTTATTCTCTTTTGAGCATCATTGATGTGAAAAAAACAAATAAGCATGGTATCTCCTCCATCGTTACTCTAGTCTAAACACAAGTATTTGCAATTGAAGGACATATACATGTTGTACAAAATAAGACAACAAACTAAACAATATTTAATTCAAGATTGAGAATTGATCATTGTTATTTAATGTTTTACCACACCTAATAATTCCATGGTATGCAGCAGAAACACACAATTAAGTGCTAAAATGCTATACCAGGTAGCTAACTGCAGGCACATTTTCCAAAACTCCTTTGCCGCCAAAAAAGCCACGACCAAGAGGACTATATGGTACAATTCCAATTCCTAGCTCCCTGTATTAATCAAAGCATTAAAAAAATGAAGTCACATTAAAACAAACATGCTGCCAACAGCAACTAAACCCTTTTTTTCTAACCCTCTTTTCAAGTAGCTCATGATTTAAGAGTGTTCATATTAATTTTTAATGAAGAAACAGTCATGAGAGCTGTACTCTTATGAACATGGAGAAGAACTCAAACTTACCGGCAGAGAGGAACTATCTCCTCCTCAACATCACGAGTCCAGAGGGACCACTCTATTTGTACAGCTGTGATGGGATGAACTGCATGAGCTCTCCTTATTGTATCTGGGCTGGCTTCAGATAACCCAATATACCTGACTTTTCCCTCTTCCACAAGTTTCTTAAGCTCACCTACCTTTAATAGAACAAATTTAATAATAATGTTATCTAACTATCTACCGGGATAATAATGTCAGCAAAATTCACACACACATATATATATATATAGGATAGAGTTATATTTACAATTTTTTTTGTTTACAAACTACACTATGTTCTTCTGGGGTATATAGTGTAATTAACAAAAATTAGTAAAAAAAATTTGTAAACGGATCTTTCACCATATATATATATATATATTGTGTACTAAGCTCAAATATATATATATATATTGTGTACTAAGCTCAAAATCATTTATAGGTTTATCATAGGAAGAAATCCTTAACTGTTTCCTCTATAGGTACAGAGGTATCCACTCTATGCTGATAATAGAGATCAATGTATTCAACATCGAGACGTTTCAAGCTAGCTTCGCAGCTTGAGCGCACATAATCGGGTGAACCCTTGACAAGCAAACCAGATTGATCTCTTCGTGCGACACCAAATTTTGTTGCTAGCTGGATCTTTTCTCTAGGTAGCTGCTTCAAAGTCTAGTCAACACAATCAAAGAAAAACACACACTTTATGATATCCTAACACAAATAGTAGGTAGAACTGAGAAGAAATCCTTGTTAAGTTAGGTACCTTTCCAACCAAAACTTCATTGGCACCACCAGTTCCATAAATATCAGCAGTATCAAAAAAGGTGATCCCTTTACTGAATGCATATTTAATAACAGAGATGCCATCCTCTTCGGGAAGAGGATCATTGTAGGCCCCGCTAAGGCCCATACATCCGAATCCCAATTTTGAAACCTATGAAAAAAAAAAAACAAAGAACGGGTAGAAGAGGATTATGCCATCTGAAAATAAGAGTAATCGAAGTGAGTAAAATAGTGAGCATATGGTTAATACCTCAAAACCCTGGGTTCCGAGTTTCACCCGAGGAATCAACTCACTCTGCGTAGCGGCCATTTTGGTTCCTCAATAATCCAAATCTCAATCCTTAACTCCTGCTTGTGCTGGATTATATGTCCACAGTCGCAATTACTTTATTCCTTCTACAGTCTTTGTTTTTGTCACTCAATGCGTTAGCACGGGCTTGTTTTCCATCACTGCTTATGTCACACACAGTCTTTGACATCTGCGTGACTGTTTCTGTTTTCTTTTATTTTACATATGGTACTACTTTCTAATTCTGTTATATCAAAATTTAAAGAGAAGAGAAAAAGATAAATATTGATTAAAATTTTGATCTAATAATATTGAAGAATAATAAATAAAGATAGGCAAAAAAATAAAGTAGATAGAATAATCTAATCCTATATTTTTTACTTTTATTATTTATTCTTAATAAAAACATTTTAAAAAATGAAAACATTCTTCCATCTGTACTGTATTTTAAATATGAAAATTAATTTAAGTATATTTCTAAATGAAATGGAAGAATATTGTAACAACCAATTAGGCTTACTACTAATATTACCACCAATTAATTTTACCGTTAAATTGATTATGTTGATCCAACGGTTATATATATTTTGATCTTTATATGATTATGATTCTCATATTTAATATTTAATATTTATTTTCACCTTTGTATGATTATGATTTTTCATATTTAATGTGAAAAATCATAACCATAACTGTTGGATCAACATAATCTATCTAACGATAAAATTAATTGGTAGAAATATTAATAATAACTTTAATTGGTTGTTATAATATCACATTTAGTCTCTAAAAGACAAAATGTAATTTCCAAATTGAAATCTAAATATAGTAATTTTTTTCTTCCTTGTATGCCAAGCTTATCATTCTTAGCACTGAGATCAATAATTGCAATACACCTTTTTTCTTGGTGGTGGGGCCCCTGGTACACCTGTTTATAATATCTAGTTTTTCACAGATTTTGCGGTTTGGAGTATAAATTTTGTTTTTCCTTTCAAGTTTCTTTGATGACTTTTCTTCTTATTCTATTTCTTGATTTTTATCTAGTTGATAATTTTATTGAATTCCTCTATATTATTATATAAGAGATAATATATATATACATATGGAAAAATTTACTCTTATGCAACATAAGAGTAATTTTATCTCTTACACACTCATCGAAAATTGTGACACTCCTTTTTTCCTTTTTCTTTAAATGGTAGACCCCACCATATGTATCTCTACAACATGAGAGAAGATCTCTCATGTAACATAAGATTAAATGAACTATATATATATATATATATATATATATATATATATATATATATATATTCATTGCTAGAGGTATTCATCAATCGATCCAAATCGATTCAAATCACTGTGATCGAACAGAAAAATAGATAACCGAATAAATCGAAAATCGAAAAAAGCCTACAAATTTTAATTGGATTGGATCGGTTTTTTGATTGGTTGATGAAAATCGATCTAATCCAAATCGATCCAATATTCTAATTCTCCTCAACTTACTTGGACCTTTCCTCAATCATAACTCAAAATTTTTTAAACTCAAGATTCATTAACACATCAACTAAATTCAAGTCACATCTCATCAACAAATATCATCTATGTAGAGCTTCATATCTCATTGTAAAAAAAAAAAACTATATTATCGTTTACTTATGATTTTATATTCAAAAAATAATAATTTACAAAGCCAATATATTCCAAAGATGTTATTTGCACAATAATTATGAAACAAATTTTAGAATTTTCAAAAAATCGAAAACCGATGTAATCCAAATCGAAAAAAAATTGAATTGGATCGGATCGGAATTGAAAAAAAATTCAAACTGAATGAATTATTACATGATCAAACTAAAGGAATTGGATCAGATAATTTTTATTTTCAAAATCGATCAAATCCAGACCGTAAACACCTATACCCATTATTATTGATTGTGGGTTCGGAGATTTGGGTGGATTTCAATAGAGGTACTTACTGTGATTTTCTTCCCATATTGAATTTTCCACATAGGAAGTTAGGAACGTCTTGGTGCTATTTATTTTTCGGCGCTGTTGTTATTTGTTTTTTTTTTTTCTTGTTCTTATTTTTCCAAGAGGTATCACAGGCACAAATTGTTTGTTAACATGACATGACACACGGGTCTCTCGTATGTAAAGCATAGAACAATCAAGTCAGTTGAAACGTGACGTTAAACTATTCAATTATGTTTTTAAATCATAACATAAAAGTTTGATTTGTTACGTGACATATGCTTTTACTTTTGAACTTAACGACTTAAAAGTTATTCTAAAGATTTATTTTGCATTAAGGTCTTCATGGCTAGATCCGTGTGCAGCCCAACCCGAACTTAGTTAATTAATGAAGATATTATTTTTTCCCTTAAAACCTGACTTGATTTGTGTGCAGCCCAAGTTTCAATGATTTTTACAAACCCGAACCGTTTAACTTAAATGGGTTGAAAGCCCATAACACGGATAGCATTTTGAAAATAATTTTTTTTTAAAAAATCCGTCTTTATTAGATATGCTTGTACGGTAATATTTTTGTCACCTCTCAAGAAACCAGAGCAGTGAAGGGGAAAGGGCAAAGGAAAGGAACATAACGCATTGTTAGATTTGAATTTGAGTACGCTAATTGCACGTCTAATTCTACCAAAAAATTTGTTTAATGGGGATTTGCTCAAATATTATAATCATTGAAATTTGCAAGATTGAGAATAAAAGAAAATTTATAAAATTATAAGAGAATGGGGATTTGCACAAATATTTTAATAATAAGGTATGTATCTCTTTCTAATTTATTGAAAATAAATTTACTTTGATTATTAAAAAATAAAAAATTGGAAAGTTAAACAAATTATAAAGAAAACAACTAAAAATTTAAAAATAAAATATATATTGTTATATAATAAAAAATCAAAATTTAAAAAACTCCATACGACAATAATATTAATTTAAAAAACTTTTATATTATGCATATATAACACTTCATCTCTCTGCTGGAAGATATCAAAACTATGTTGTAACATTAAAATACATCCCATATTGAAATCAAAGTACTAGGATCAGTTTTGAGCATATTTACTTTATTCTTTCCGAGATGTTATTACAAATAAAATAAATACGTTTAAAGATTATAATGTTGGAATTTTTTTTTTTAATTCCTCAAAACCTTATGGTGATAACTATCACCCACAAGCCAAGATCCATCATACCAAATAATAAAGAAAAATAAGAACAACATAAAGGTGGATGAATACCTGTCTCCATTGCAGCGGAATAACTTTGATCTTGTCTTTTGGGGTTTGTAGTCTTCCTCAGTCAAATCACCCTAAAACCGAATTCCTTAGTGTGCCGTCTCTCTCTTGATGGGGAAGAGAAACTAGGGTTATTCATTTGACGTATTGGGGACCATAACCCTTATATAGTGTTTTTATCTTTATTGTTGGGCCAATAAGCTCTCATTATACCTAGTTGGCCCAATACTGGTATCCACTCATTCAGCACATACTCACTTAGGAATCTATTTGAGAATATTTAACTGATCACTTTAATATACCCAATATATATAAATAGCACAATATAATTATTAATATAATATGTGACCCACAATAATTATTAGAAAATATAATTTTCTAACAATCTCTCACTTGGGCCACATATTAACTTGAGATAATTATATCATATATCTTTAGTGCGCAATTGTATGCTATTTTTCTTTAGATTCCTCCTTAGATACAATCTGGTCCACCTCCTATAATATGAGATCATGGCGGCTTTTGTCACTTTCAAGCGTAACTAAACCTTCCATGGTCATCGCACCAATATATTCAATGACATAGATCAAGTATGGATGAGTGGCATGGAAATTACATGCAATGTGATCTTACCATGCCTATTTCCAACTGGTCCTACTTTAATCTTTATAAGATCAATCCTAAATTTTCTGCATACACAAAGCATAAATACAAGCACAAAATTTAATACATTCAGAGGGAAAATACCATTGAATTCTTTATTCTGCAGAAAATTTAATCTTCATAGAACACTAACATAAAGAACTCCCACTAAACCGTAGTGTCATCGAACAAAACAACACCCATATGAGCAGTATGCTCGTGAAAGACCTTAGGCACTAAGCTTTTAGTAAGCGGATCCGCAAGCATGGAGTTCGTCCTTATGTATTCTATAGAAATCTGACCACTCTGAACTCTTTCTTTAACAACCAGAAACTTTATATCGATGTGCTTCGATTTTGAAGAGCTTCTGTTGTTGTTGGAGTACAACACTGCTGACCTATTGTCACAATAAATCTTCAGTGGCCTTTCAACACCACTAACTATATGCAGCCCTGTGACAAAGTTTCGCAGCCATACCCCATGGTTGGATGCCTCAAAACAAGCTACAAATTCAGCGGCCATAGTAGAGGAAGCTACGAGTGTCTGTTTAACACTCTTCCAAGAAATAGCTCCTCCAGCCAACATGTAGACAAAACCTGATATGGATCTTTTACTATTTTGGCATCCAGCAAAATCAGAGTCAGTATATCCGACGATCTCTAATTCATCTGACCTCTGATATGTATGCATATAATCTTTAGTTCTCTTTAAATACCGCATGACCCTCTTGGCTGCTTTCCAATGATCCATTTCTGGATTGCTCAAGTATCTTCCTAACACTCCCACTATAAATGTTATATCAGGGCGAGTACAAACCTGGGCATACATAAGGCTTCCTACTGCCGAAGCATAAGGTACCTTTGTCATTTCTATCATCTCAAGCTTACCTTTAAGGCATTGGGCGAGACTAAACTTGTCTCCCCTAGATATGGGCGTATCTCCTGACGTACAATCCTTCATGCCAAATCTATCCAAAATCTTTTCAATGTAGGCCTTTTGTGATAACCGTAGTATACCTTGAGCGCGATCTCGAAGTATCTGTATTCCTAAGACAAAAGATGCATCACCAAGGTCCTTCATCTCAAAATCTTTAGTGAGAAGTTTCTTGGTTTCATGCAATAAGCCTATATCGCTACTGGCAAGTAAGATATCATCAACATATAGTATCAGGAATATGAATTTACTCCCACTAAACTTGTGATACACACAATCTTCCACTAAGTTCACCTCAAAGCCATAGGAGATAATAACCTGATGGAATTTGTGGTACCATTGAC